CATTTCTGTGAGGTTAAAAATAGATAGATTCGTCTCTTCGCTTCAATTCTTTCATCAATTCGTCAATAGTTTTTCGCGAAAGAAAATAAGGAGGAATCTCTCTCCTTTTTGTGTGCATCCGCAGGGGTCGGACAGTGAGTATTTACACAACAAATCAAACGTGTTTAGTTGTATTTCAGTCAGTTTTTTACGAATTCCTAAAAGTAACGGCGAATTGAGGTGAGAAGTATGCGAACCGATGCGAAGAGACGAATATGTGTATTTTTAATCTCATAGAAAAATTTCTGGTTCCTGACATCAATTCGTATTTTACGAATTCGTAAAAATAACGGTGAGTTGCGGTGAGAACTATGTGAAGAGACGATTCTTACTTTTCTTAACACTTTCGGTTATGATCTGTTTCGGTTATGATGGGTTCCGGTTAACCGAAACCGGTGCATGCCTAAACATAGAAGACGTTTATTTAGCATGTTAGAAAGAGTACTGCTAAAGGAAAAGCAATGGTGGATACACTAAAATTAGAGATACCTATATTTGCTGTGTGTCGGATTTCATTTTTCAACTACATGTAAAAGAACCAGTCGATTATTTAAGGGGGTTTTTACTTCATTTCTGTGTATTTCCTTTATATATTGTTCGAGAATGGATGTAAAAGTCGAAATATCAGTATATTAAAGTAATAAGAATTTATTACTATGAAATTCTATACACTGTAAAAAGAATCGCACGTTTAAACCGTGATAACCTGACAGTTTAAACATCAAAATCTGACGCTTTTCTAAGCCTGATGTTTTATCCGTTCTAACCCGATACTTTAACTAACCTGACGGTTAAAATGCCTGGTCAACATGACGTTTTAACCGTTTGGTTACAAAAACGTCAGGTTAAAACGTTTCATATGTCTGTATCATTTAATTTAACATAAATTTCTACATCTAGATCACATCTATTTTAGTTTTTCGATGCTTCCTCGGCTAGGGGATCTAGAAATACCCTTTTTGACGGAAAACACGAAAATTGAAGATTACACATTATCAAACCACTTCGGACACTTCTAATATAGATATTCGTGATCATCGTGGTCGATTACATATTACCAGGTGGTTTTGGAAAAAATCAAAAGTTCTCCAGATATCCTGGAGAGAACCTCAGGCCTCAAAAACCTGACCGAGACATTTCGCGAAACTAAGTGTCTGAAAATGTTCCTGAGCATCCCCTGACATAGTTTCAATGCAAAAGAAAACGAAAATTTTAGGAGCCAGGAAAGGGTCTTATTCGCCCTACTCCTTTAGCTCACTTCTCACAAATCTTGGTTATATCATCCTTATAGATATAATGTACAGTTAAAGACAAGTAACTGCTTGAAAAATAAGTTCCGGAATCTTCATTGTTCGATAAAAATATTGCCGCGATTTATTCAATTTTAGTAAAAAAAGACCGTACTTAGATGTAATTTATAAAGCAAAATCACAAAAAAGAAATAGTAAATCATTCATTACATGTGATTTCTATCCGAATTGCAGCACTAAAAGTAATGATGAAGTTTAGAAGAAAACAGACAAATGTACTTTACAGTAAATAGAGAAACTAACATTCTTTTTTAACAGTACAGTAAAATAAAACCTAACATCATCTGTCAGACGACACTCTTTCCATTAAAGAAGATTATTTCAACAAAATAATAGGTAACAGGTCAAAGCAAGATCTTGATATTCTACTCTACAAATATATCCAACGGTAAAAATGCTCTTACACAATAATTCGGCATATCCACTACTTGTGTAATGCGTAGATCTACCGCCACACTACACAACATGTAGGCTTCCTCACGTGTTAGACCTTTTATATCACCGAGATAGCGAATCATATCACGAACTGCATTTTTTGTTGCATCAAGCAGCGTGTCTGCTATACCAAGAATTGTATAGTAGCCTCTACTGCTGACACGAGCATTTGCTTGCGAAGGGATACAAATTTGAGGAGAATTGACATGCGGCATATTTTTGAGAACAGAAAGTCGCACTTGTACACTGACAGGCGTCTCAATTGCAGTACCTGCAACTTCTCCATCGCCCTGCGCAGCATGTCCATCTCCTAAACTGAATAATCCGCCCTCACATTCAATTGGCAACAGCAACTTTGTTCCTTCTACGTTGTATTTTGTGTCAATATTGCCGCCGGTTCTATATGGCGGAATTGTGCTGAAAGCCCCTTTTTGGCCTCTAGCAACACCACATTCACCGCAGAATGGTCTTAACGGTATATGGATTCCTTCTTTGAACCATGCAGACTCCCCCTCCAACTTCCATATTTTTAAAACAGGATTCGGAAATTCTTCATGTAATAAACCAAACCCTGGAATCAAACCAGTCCAACCCCAATCAGCCGTTTTTATTTTGAGGAACTCCACTTCCAAGACATCACCAGGCTGAGCATCTTCAACATAAATCGGACCCTTGACCTGATCCAGAAGCGAAAAATTAAAGTTCTTGATGGCGTCCGACGTTGACTCTTTATTAATTTGAGAATTGCTTGCGTCTACACAATCGAACGAAACTATGTCGCCAGACTGGATACGTGCAACTGGTGGAATTGAGTTGTCCCATGTAAGATGACACTGGTGTGCGTGAATATGAATGTTTTTTGCCATGGATGGTACGTTTCTTTAGTTCTGACTAGCAACCTTATCACTCTCAAAAATATATGAAACAATGGGCAAAGTGTTAATATAGGCTGAGATAACAAACTCTGTACGGTATCTAGAAAACAACGTGTTCACAACAGTCCTAATAATAATGATAAACAATAGATAGTTCTGTAGTTCTTTTCACCAGTAATTAAAACCCTAAAAAATCTTTCTTTGCACCAAATGATTACAATGATAAAAGTACAGAAGCAAAACTCGATATGAAAATTAACAATAAGATTTCTTTGGATAAAAGCTTTACCACTGAGGTGTTTAGATATGGCCTCCGCTATATCATGTCCTTGAAGAAGAAGAGCACGCACTTTGTGAAGTACACAGACAAGATGAAATATTTACTTAGACAATTCTTAAGGAACTGTAGATAAATAATTCAGAGTGAAATTAACGATGTAGATGACGCCAGTAAATGGCGTAATGAGGTAGGAGGAAAGACGTTTCTTCTAAGGAGCAAATATAGAAGCAGTTTTTCAGCATTTACTCTCTTCCGTTCTTCTTCTTTTCTTAGTGTTTCGAGACACCTATACGTAAATAAATGATGTAAGGTATACTATCTCGGAATACCACGTTTGTTAGTTATGAAAGCTTTTTCATTTATGCAAATTGACATGCTCTTCGATCTGATATTGTCAAATTTCTCCAGGAAAAAATCGTTGTCTGTACATATTGGATATGGGACCCCAGCCCGCGCGCAGGTCTCGGAAATCTGAATCGAACTGTCGATTCAGACTTTCAGCGATCTAGACAGCTTAACCTGAACCTTCCCAAGCAAAAGAAAAATCGATAAGCTAGCTCAACCTAAATAAAGCGGTACATTTAGCTAGCTCAAGCTAGTTAGATTTTTTCTTTTGCTTGGATTGCTTAACGTAGAGTTAAGCTACATGTTATTTCAAAGAGAAGTGTCTGTCCTATCGGAACTTCTTGATTCAAGAAGCTGCAGAGCAAGAAAAAAACAAGAAAAAGCAAGAAAAAACAAGAAAGTGGGACACTTCTTGCTGCAAGAAGTATTTCTTGCTTTCCGGTCTCAAGATCTTGAGCCAAGAAATGTAAAAAGACACTTCTTGTAGTTCTTGATCCAAGATCTTGAGGCAAGAATGCAAGACGTACCTTTCTTGCCCTTCTTGCCTCAATAAGATTATTTCTTGTGTTTCTTGATCCAGGAAATAGGTCCTTGCAAGAAAACAAGAAATATTTCACTCGTTCTTCGATTTCTTTTATCCTATGGTCATTTCAATTTCGGTGATAGGAAAAGCACGGCTTCTTTTGAAAGATGCACGTGTATTTGTTGCTATATATATTTAGGCTATATACTCTCTAACGTTTATCAACGTAGAAGAATTTAAATCACAGACACATGTGTGATTGAAGATATTTACATTTATTCTTCTCGTTTTAAACGGGACGAAAAAACAGCGTCTGTTATATAAGGCACTTATTTCCTGCAACGGTCTTGAGGCCAATTTATACCAGAGATAGAACATCGAAAAAGAATATCGATATATTTTTGCCGAGAACTTTCTGACATGTTCTTCTATGGGTTTTCTGAAAAACTCCAGTTTTCATTTGCACACATTACGACCCCCCGAAAAAATGGTCCGAGCAAGCTCAAAAGTTTATCATAGATACTTCAGACCCTATCTCAGATTGTTTTTTTCTTTTAGGAAAATATTCTTTCCTTCTCGAGATGTCCGAAAAATACTGAAAATCCCATATAAAAAACCGGTTTTTCATTTTGAAAATCTTCGCACACCGAAAGTTGAAGTCGAAAACGCTTTTTAAAGAAAGAGCGAACCTGAGATAGGGTGTGAAGTATCTGAGGCAAAATTTTGGGCTCGATCAGACCATTTTCCAAGAAGTCGTAATGTGTGCCAATTGAACGGACCATTGAAAAAAATGCATAATGAGAAAAACACATATTGTACACAGGGCTCTGTTCCCAGGGCATTGGCGTCTATGCTTATATCTCTAAGAAGACTCATCGGAAAATTCTGAAAAACATCTCATTTGGAAGAGCACACTTTCTTCTATCATGCTATATATAAGAAAAAACTTTGAATATATAGGAAAAATTTACGAACCTAAAAAATTGAGATTTTCCAGGCTTTGAAGGATAAAATTAAAAACCACATCATTTTTTCAGGGAAGGTCATGAAGAGCTGGGAGTAGTCTCATTTTATAGGCCAGACTTTCCTTTACATTATGTTCAGCTTAGAATGACAACTTCTGCGCAAAAAAGAGGGCGGCGGGGTATCCTTAAATGATGAAATCTAACGATTTTCTCGATGTATAGGCTCACTCAATGTTTACTGTGCAAAAATCTCAAAATAAAAATGCAAATGCATCGAGGATTGATGTTTTTTAAAACAATTGTAAGTATCCTCGCTGTAAGATCGCTTTGCTGTTAGAGACTTTCAGGATATAGCAACGATCAGTTCAGTTCGGTTCTGTTTGACTCAGAGAGAATTGGAGCTCAGCCATTCCGCCTCATTCACAGGATATTAGAGTGGCTCTAATAACGAACGACATCATGGAGAAACTCCACTTGCCGCAAATCCAATCTTGGCGACTTTATTTCCATCAAAGCTACGTTGCCCAACTTGCAAGTTTCCAGCTTCTCACCCGAAATTTCCTAAATATCCTCAATATCGTAAATATCCTAAATATCCTAAATATTCTCAATATAATAAATATCCTAAATATGCTAAACCTGCAAAACACATATGTCGAACTGATTCACAGACTAAGCCGTTTAGGATATCTAGGATATTTAAGATATATAGCATATTTAGGATCTATAGGATATTTAGGATATTTAGGACATTCAGGATATATACGTTTTTCTGTATGTGCTAAACATTCGGCAAGTTCATTTTTTGTACTGTGAAAGTAACTTGCAGCAAGTTCAGATTCTCCAACATATGTAACGAACTGATCCTAGCGATAATATCTACGGGTATACATTCTCTGACAGTCCAAGCGTGAATGTTTTCTTCACATACGGCAAACGTTACCTTATCGGTAATATTATTATATCGGGCTACTTGATGTTTCTGCGTCAACACATCATCTTTTCTCATGAGGTACTGGATGTTCTGCAGAACCTTTTTCCGAAAATATTTTTTCTATCTGGGAAGCTCAATGCTTCTTCACGAGAACGTCCTCTTTTTTCTCTGCAGGTTTCTTGACGAGAACTTCATCTTTTCTTTTGACACAGTCGATGTTTCTTCATCAGAACTTCATCTGTTCTCATGATGTGCCGGATGTTTCTTCACCAGAAGTTAGTCTTTTCTCTTCGGATACTTGGCGTTCCTGCACGAGAATATTGTGGATTCCCTTGAAAAACTCGATGCTTCTTCACGAGAATTTCAGCTTTTCCGTTGAGAAGCTGAATGTTTCAACACGACAAGGTCAATGTTTTTCTTGAGAAGCTCGGTGTTTCTTTACGGGAACGTCATGTTTTCTCTTGAGATACTGCATCTTTGCTGGCGAGAACGTCATGTTCTTTGTTGAGAAACTCGATGTTCCTGCACGAGAACATAATCTTTTCTCTTGTGGTACTTGATGTTTCTGCACGATAGTATCATGTTTTCTCTTGAGAAACTCGATGTTTTTATCACGGGAACTGCATATTCTCTCGTGAGGTACCCGATGTTTCTTCACGAGAATGGCATCTTTTCTCTTGGGCTGCTTGATGTTTCTGCACTCGAGCATCATCTTTTGTTTGAAAAACTCGCTGCCGGATGTTTCATCACGAGAACGTCATCTTTGTTCTTGAAAAACTCATTGTTCCTGCAAGAGAATATCGTGGATTCTCTTGAGGCACTGGATGTTTCTCCAGGAGAGTTTGGTCATTTTTCTTGGGCCAGTTGATGTTTTTGCGTCAGCACATCATCTTTTCCCTTGAGAAACTCGATATTTCTTCACGAGAACATAATCTTTTCTCTTGAGGTACTTGATGTTTCTGCACGATAGTATCATGTTTTCTCTTGAGAAACTCGATGTTTTTATCACGGAAACTGCATATTTTCTCGTGTGGTACCCGATGTTTCTTCACGAGAAGTTAGTCTTTTCTCTTACGATACTTGATGTTCCTGGTTGAGGATATCGTATTTTGATCTGTAACTGTAGGAGTCGAATCGCGCCGTGATTTCCTCGACTCACACCTACTATAGGGAAGTCTAAAGCTGTTGAGGCACTCGATGTTTCTCCAGGAGAGTTTGGTCATTTCTTTTGGGCTAGTTGATGTTTTTGCGTCAGCACATCATCTTTTCCCTTGAGAAGCTCAATGTTTCTTCACGAGAACGTCAAGTTTTCTCTTGAGATGCTCGATGTTTCTTCACAATAACTTCATGTTTGCCGTTGACAAATTCGATGTTTCTTCACGAGAACATAATCTTTTCTCTTGGGGTACTTGATGTTTCTGCACGATAGTTTGTCGACTATTTGCCGTCGAAATGTGTAAATTACGTAACTTATCAGTGACCTTCGAATCAGTTGGATATGAGTGTATGTGGCTGATGCTCCTTTGATTACCCACACCCTCACACACACACACAGTCACACCACCACAGACACACACCCTCAAGATGAGCAAGTAATTGAAAATGCTGATGGAAAATTGTTTATCAAACTGAGCAGAGAATATTTTTTGAGCATCTTAACATCAAATGGGAGTTTTCGATGCAAATCTGTACTTGAATTACATATGAGTGGAAACATCACATTGAAATGGACATTTTCATATTAAATTCATGAAGTGATGGGCGAATTCGCACTGTTTAAGGGATATGTTGTTAGGAGTAACATGAGAGTTGAGTTCCCTCGTTCTTGTGCGCGCACTAAGCAGAACTGAACTGGTGATTGCGCTTCGCTTTTATAAATAATATGTCTAAACTATATAGAAGATAGCATTGTTTAAAAATAATTCGAATAGATTGGTGAAAATC